CAAGTAGAGAAGAACCACAGAATGAAGTCGGAACATCGTCTAGATCGACATTTAGAAACCGGTCACATAGTCCTAGAACGATACTAGTAGATATATATATATATATATATATATAATATATATATATATATATATCTCCAAGAAATCGATATCCCACAAGTGACCAGAAAAGTAAAAAAAGATACTCTGGATTCTGAAATTGCACATTTGAAGGAGCAACTAGCGATTAGTAAATTAGTAAAAATGAAATAGAAAAGGTAGGAGAACATGTGTCAATATGTAGAATGAGCAACTACAATTAAAGAATCAAAGTCAGTAACAGCTTAAAGAAATAAAGAATGTAACCGAATAAGTAAGCCTTCAAAGGTCCAAATTTAATCAGGAAGAAGATAATGATCAGACTTCCCTGGAAAACGTTAAATAAAAACAGAAGAAATATAATGACTTAAAAGGTGTAGTAAGACCTATTTGACAAACAATAACCAAATAAAGTGGAACTATAAAAGCATACTGGACTCAATAGGAATTTCTATATCTTTTCAATGGTCTGTTATATCGGAAGTTAGAAAGTCCCGATGAAGCTCAATAAGTGGTACTGCCAAAATCACACATTGAAAGTGTATTGAAAGATCTTTATGAAGGACATTTTGGAGTCAAAAGAGTACTAGCCAGAAATCAAGACATATTGTACTAGATCAATCGTCGCCGAAATGTAAACAATTCGTAATCCTACATAACAGACAGACATTTCCAGATAAAATACAGTACGATAGCAATAACATTAAGACCTATAAACTCTAGCGTACCTCAAGATAGTGTGCTTGGTCCACTCTTATATCTGTTATCCACGGCCGACCTACCTACTTCTGATCAGTGTTCCCTGGCAACATTAGCTGATGACACCGTCATCCTTTCGTCGCACACAAATTCAATCAAAACATCTAGAAGATTACAAGTCCCCTTAAATACCATTCAGATGTTGTTAAGAAAATGGCGAATCAAGATTAATGAAAGTAGATTAAATCAGGTTACTTTTACAACTCAACTTCTGATGTGTCTACCTGTACAACTAAACAATCAAGATATACTGTAATCCAAAACTGAAAAACACCTTGGTGTTCATCTTGATAGACGACTTACTTGGACAAATCACATCTTCAATAAACGAAAATAACTTGAATTAAAATTAAAACATCTTTAGTGTCTACTTGGAAGAAATTATGAACTATCACTAACAAATAAATTAGTAGTATGTATATAAAGTCATTCTAAAACCCATCTAAACCTATGGCATTCAACTGTGGGAAGTGTGCAAGTAAATCCAATATTGAAATCCTGCAGAAGTTCCAGTCGAAGGTCCTTAGGAAGATTGTTAATGCACCATACTACGTCCCTAGTGAAGTCACACATAGAAAAAAAATACTTAGATAAAAAAGTATGTCGACTTTGGCCAGATTGTTACATAAAACAAATGTTTAGGTATTGCCAGTTTTAGATTTGCCAGGTAAAAATACAGGTCGAGAAACCCTTTTTTCCAGTGTCTGCGTCGAGGATCAACTCATCGTTCCCGGCAAAGGGCTGTCATAGCCAGATAGGATTGACCGTGAGCATCACTGCGCTGCAAAAGCTGCCGCTGTTGTTATTATTGAATACCTGTCTAGATACAAGCTTAATTTCAATTGGTATTAACAGTAAATTTTGTCAATACCCCTGCCTACCGTTGACGTTTATTTTATGTGCCTGCCGTGGCTATATACGTTCGTCCGATGCCAGCACTTAATTAAATTTATTTTTAGCTTACAAAAGCTTTTAAAACTAATTTGAATTGAATAATCGAAAAAGTAATTCCGAGCTTTAATTTAAAGTAGAAAATATAATAGTTTTCAAACGAATTCATTCTGGCGCTCATTATATATTATGATTTTTTAACAATTAATTTTTTTGCTTCTTAAGTTTAGGTCAATTGTCCACTAACTTCCAACATAATAAACGAAATGGCTTTAAATAAATTTAAATCAAATTTCAAAAGTTTGAAGCCGACATTTTACTTTAAAATAAGTTCATTTAATGTTTCTATTTCCACTTTGGAAATCGTTCTCAAAATACGAAACATTGAAAATATTCCTAGAAATACAAAACAGATTGTTTCCATACAATAAATTTCATAAATACGTGTCTTCTTTTTTTTTCTTTATTAACCGCATCAACTACTTGGAGTTATTAGCGGGAGGAAATAATATACAATTGTTTACAATTAATTAAATTACAAACAGTCGAGATTTGTACAGTTGTACATTACAATTAAGTAGGTAGGTTTGTAGTACAATATTTAAGTTAATTTAATTTCACAATATGGTGTTATTAGTAACTAAAGTAAAACCTGTTTATATATTAATATAAATTAAACTCATTTACAGTTTGTTTAAAATATTAATTTCCTTTAGAGAATTAAAGAGGTTTTTCGGATTACAATTATCTACTAAAACATCTTTGATATTTCCAGGTATTGAATGTGTGTTTCTTTCATTAATAAATTTGGGACAATCTACCAAAATATGTGGTATGGATATATTATAGTTACAAAGATCACATATAGGGCGATTTGAGTTGGCGATAATATAACCATGAGTTAGTTTGCTGTGTCCTATACGCAATCGAGTCATTTTAACGAATACCCGGCGATCAACGTTTATTTCACACTATGAATGTATTGTAGGCTTAATAGTGTTTAGAAATGATTTTGATTGTTGCCATTTATTTCCCCATTCACTTAGCACTTTCTTTTTTACGAGTGATTTAAAATCCGACACAGACACTGTATTCACTGTTATTGATGATGCACTTTGTATTGCTTCACAAGCGTAATAATCCGCTTTTTCATTGCCTTCCAAACCAGTGTGTGATGAAACCCAAAAAAACGAATTTGCTGTTTTGCCTGGTTTATAAGGTGTAATTGATGTTGTATTAGATGAACTATAGGGTTACTGGTATAGAGCTGTGTGATTGAATGTAATGCACTAAGAGAGTAAGTAATTATCAGGGTTTTTGAGATATTGTGGTTGTTTATATAAATTAATGCTTGTAGAATCGAGTACAGTTCTCCAGAGAGAATACTGCTAGTAGGTGATAGTTTGAATTGGAATGCGGTATTTGGAGTGACAATTGCTGATCCTACACCATCAGTGGATTTGGATTCATCTGTATAGGTGTGATAATAATCAGAAAAACAGGAGAGTTTGTTAAGTGATTCTTGGTTTATTAATTTGTGAGGAGGTTTAAATTTGTTGTATTTGGTAATAGTTAGATCGCATTGTAAAGGGGGTATTGTCCATGGTGGAAATGCAGCCGTAATCGGCTTACTAAAGAAGTTTGGAAATTTAATGCTATAAGAGATAAAAAACCTTCGAATTCTCTCGTATAATGGAGGATCTGTTCGAGTTTTTTTAATATAAATATCTTTAAAACTACCTTTCTACTTCTACTTTAAACTAAATATCTTTCTACTTGTTTTTGTAACATATCTATCTTGGGCCCGTAATTTCTTCTATTCGATGATGTTTTCTACAGTTTTGCAACGCTTTATTTTGTTAAAAGGATTTTTATATTGTTTAATAACTTGGCTACAATCTGTATTCCACCATGGAAGGGAAGTTCTTTTCAAAATTTTTGTTTTTCCTACATAAATGTTAGCAGCGGTATATAATAGTAATGTAAATGAACTTAATATTTCATCGATAGATTGATCTTTTGTAATCTCTAATGTTTGGTAATTGTATTGGATATAGGTTTTAAATGAAAACCAATCTGCTTTTTTCAAGTTCTATTTTGGAATCGGGGATTTATTGATCTTGTTGTCATTAATTGTCATAGAAATTTTAGTGGAATAATGATCGCTACCATACAAAAAGGGTATTACATCCCATGAAAGCTTTGGTGGTAATGCAGAATCGCAAGTTGATAAATCAATGGCTGATGAGGAACCCATGTGAATATTAGGTATATCGGGTTGGTTGACCATCGTTTAGCAGGTTTAAGTTTTTAGAAACTATCAAGTTTTCCAAGATTTTTCCTTCATAATTTGTTCCTAGAGATTTCCACGTTGGATTATGGCTATTAAAATCACCTATAATTATTCTCGGAGTTTATATTTGATCCAATAAATGTGTAAGATCTGTTTCTGTTATTGATTGGTTTGGAGGAATATATATATAATATATATATATATATATATATATATATATATTTATATATATATATATATATATATATATATTTATATATATATATATATATATATATATATATATATATTTATATATATATATATATATATATATATATACATATATATATATACATATATATATATATATATATATATAATATATATAAATATATATATATATATATAAATATATATATATATATATATATATATATAAATATATATATATATATATATAATATATATATATATATATATAAATATATATATATATATATATATATATATATATATATATATTTATATATATATATATATATATATTTATATATATATTTATATATATATATATATATATATATATTTATATATATATATATATATGTATATATATATATATATGTATATATAATATATATATATATATATATATATATAATCTATATATATATATATATATATATATTGCAAATCCATATTTTTCGTGATAGTACTTTGAGACGGCGATTAGCACCAAACATGCCTTTGTTATCCGAAACTCGCTGGTCATCAAAATACAAATATATTCGAATATTTTCAGAAAATTTTATTGAAATCAAAAATGTTTTAAAAACAATAATAGCAGATAACAAATTTAATTGCTCAACAAGATCAAGAGCCCAGCAGCTTTCATGTGCCACATCTAATTCCACTTTTATAATTTCCCTAAATTTGATTTCCAAATATTCTTCCATTAGAACCCATAGTAAACATTTTACAAACTAAATCAATAGATATGCTGGCAGTTAAAAATTATATACAGTTATTTCTTGATATGATAACAAAGCACAGACAAGAAGCGGAAACAACTTTTAAAACAATTTTTGAAAAGAGTACAAATGATGCCGAATCTGTAAGTATTACCCTTGAAAAACCACGAATCGCTCCTAGAAAGCAAACACAACGGTCAAACCATGCCGTTAATTCCACTAAAGACTTTTTTAGAGTGTCATTATTTATTCCGTACCTAGATTCTTTAATTAGTTCTCTTGGTGTCAGATTTTCAGAAGACAATAATCCTGGTATGTTATTGTATAACTTTGCATCCCAAAAACATAATAAAATTACCTGAAGAAGACCTCGCCAAAATAATAGAAATCATAAATAATTTATACAAAATTACTAATCTAAAAGAACAAGCATCATTGTGGCTCTATTATTAGAAAAATCAAACCAATTTAGATGTAGAAGATATTTCAATGATAGAGCTACTAGACCATTGCTTATTTTACCCAGCTATAGCCCAAGCTATAGAAATTTCTCTGTGCCTTCCTCCCACTACATGCACGATTGAAAGATCATTTTCAACTCTTCGAAGGGTTAAAACCTGGATTAGGTCCACTATAAGTGAACAAATATTAGATAGACTATGTATGATGGGCGTTCATAGAAATAAAATAGAAAACAATCGAAATAATTATATTAACAAAGTAATAGATGAGTTTGGACAAAAGCCCAGAAACCTTTAGTTTTTATTTTCACAAGATACAGAGCACTAGCCTTCAATATCATGTTTACTTTTTACGTTTTGTTGGGTTTACCATTTTACCATTTTAGATTCTATTGGGAAATTATTCGGTTCAATAAATTATAATACATACAATACTAACTGAAAAAAAAAATGTTATTTTTTTTATAATAAATTATAACAAATGAATTCTTAATTAAATTTCTTCAATTGTTTACAACATAGTACAAATTTTTAATGTCAAATATAAATAAGTTGGCACCCAGCGAAGTATTTGAAGATTGCACACATTTGACTATTTATGCAATTTCGGCTAAGCATGGTAGTAGAAGGGTGTACACCCTACCCTAACCCTTTCAACGTAGTACAGTTTTAAATATTTGTTTTAATTTCCTAGTAAAAGAAATTTTTCAATTCAGATATTATGTTACTTACATATTATTTAAACTACACTATTGCTTGTGTTGCATTTCGTATCTCAGAGTACCTGCTTTTTTTATTACTATTTTTTAACACCCTTGCTTAAAATTGATTTTTTTATTCCTACATAAAAAAATTTGTATAATAAAATTTGTATGTATAAAGTTTAAAATAATTTTTTGTTTAAGATTACTTTTACTCTTCTGGTATTTCTTTACTATTTGTAAATCGTGTTTATATTTTTGCATTTTTGCAATCGGCTATTTTAGTTTTTATTAAGTTGTATGGATCAAAATTAAAATTTGAGTTGACTTGCCCCCCTTGGATTTTGATATATGGGCGCCCATGTCGGTTTCCATTGGTTTTTGAAAAGTTTTCTCCTGTTTTTCTTTATTTGAGTCATTTTTGTTTAGATTTTTAGGTAACTTTGTCGTTTCTTTTAATAAAATAGTCGTTGCAGAAGGTGTTTCAGGAGTTGTAGTGATATTCTGAGGTAAGGTCGTATTGGGAGGATTTGGGCAGTTATTAGCGAAATGGCCCTTTAGATTACAAGAAGTGCATTCTTGACTTTCATGTGACATAAAGATACGATAACTTGTGTTATCGTGTGTCACAACTACAGAATCAGGAACGATGGTGCAGGGTGGAGATATATACACTTGACGACGAAAACTTAAGATGTGTTTGTATGCTGGATTAGAGGAACCTATTCGTCAGAAGCTCAGAGATGATGTTAGTGTATAGCCAAGTTGTTTTTATTTATGTTCGAGGATTTCGTGTGGAATAGAGGGGCAGACATTTGATAATAGTAATCGTTGAGTGGGTATTATTAATGGACGGGTTTGAACTTCTTCTCCATTTACTGCGATTATTCCTCGATGTTGTTTCATGAATTCATCTACGATAGTTTTGCTTGATAAGTACATACATATTTTCAATGGCTAAGAGGTTGAATTTTGCGTTCATGCACAATGTGGAGGGGAGACTAGGGGGAAATATGATTGTAATCTTTGTCTACTAAATGAAAACATAATGTTAGTATCTCTGTTAAATGTCTTGAATGGCGCTTAAGTAGCCCTGTCGTATTTTTGTACCTACTCACGAAGTCAAATAGTGACATGATGATTAAGATGCTTTAAATTATTTCTCTGAACGAGTTTCTTCTCAGATTATCTTTACTGCTAACATTCAAATTTTCTTTTAGTGTTTCTTATAAAAACCAATAAAATAAATTAAAATCTTATAATATAATTAATATAATCATTAAATTAAATATTTAAGATGCCGCAAATAAATACCTTTAGAAAATGCTCACAAAGAAGACGGCAAAATGGTGATTAGTAGGAATCCAGTCGGCGGAAAATGCTATTATTTTATTTTCCTAAAATGTAATAACACAAACTCAATCAGTGCCGACACAAATCGTTCCTGGGGGAAATCCCGCTATTTTATGGCTACACCTTCTGAATCGTGACCAGAAAAATGAGTGAATCAAAGCTTTCAGGCCATTACAGCTCGAGCGAAATTCACTTTTCACTTCACGCTTCGATTTACAGTATTCGGAAGGCTAAACCTTGTAAATCAAAAGTTAAAACATTCGATTGAAATGCTCTCGGCCCCGTAACGGAATAGGCCTCTTCTAAATGTTTTACAAGGGGTGTCAAATACATAACGTTTAACAAAAATAAAAAACCAATATTCAAGCAACTAGAAATTTATAAAAATAGCAACTAATAAGACAAACACAAGACTAAACAAAAAATTATAATTATTTAAGGTATGCGTATTTTAAATAAATGCGCCGTCTACTTTCGAGGATTTAGGGAACTAAGACATCAGAAACCCTAAAAAAGACATCATAGAGGATCGACGCGGTTAGATCTGAAACCTGACGAGTTTAATATTAATTTTTATAATAATATTGATCTTGGTTTTAGGTCTAATATATTGTTATGATTTCAGTATATCCAAGGCAAATCACAAGGTATTCAACAATGATAATTGTTGGTGGGGCTCAAAAAATATCTTAATAATTGGTGGTGCTCAAGACATTTAGGGCCGATTGTTCGAACGCCAATCAAAACTTGATTGTAATCAAATCTTTAAATAAAATCAAATACGTCACATTTTGAGGTTATCTTGTCTGATTTATTTATTTCAATTTTATTATTTAGCGTTTTAATTTAAAATAAACCATAACTAAACTCTATCTTACGTTAATTTTATGTTTTTATTTAAAACTTAATTATAATAATAAGCAATTTTTAATAATTTTGACAGCTGCTGTGACGTATTTGACTGTAATCAAATATTTGATTACAGTCATTTGATTGTAATCAAATATTTGATTAAAATCAAGTTTTAATTAGCCTTCGAACAATCGACCCTTAATGATTTAAAAAGATGGAGAAAAAGTATAAGGATTAGAACTTGTAAATTTGTTTACTAGACATATCTTTATTTAAAACTTGAGCAATACCAAGAAGTTTATTTTCAATTTAATGCATAAGAGTATATGTATAAGAGTAATGCGTAAGAGTCCAATCATCTTTAGAACATGATTGTTCAAACATTCAAAGTTTCTCGATGTAGTTTGGAGAGACATTTTCATTGGCAGGATACATCCTATATTTTTGAATTTAGTTTTTTTGTAAATATATGAAATTAAGTTATATAAGACTTTAATCTTATAATACAAAAAAATAAGTAGATTCAAATTAGAATTAATTAGCTAAATTTTAAAAAAACATCAACAACTGCATTGTAAAAGTCGTAATTTTGAGTAAATGTTAAATGTCTATATAAGTTTGAACTTATAAAAATAAAGTTTCAGGCAAATAATTATTTCAAAATCAATTTGTAAAATCTTTATAAACAACGTAAGTTATTTCAATACTCAAACTAATTGTTTAAATATCTGAATTTTAATTTGTAGAAGTAAGAACAAAAACTATAAATTTTGGTGAAATGATGAATTTTAGATGTCTGTAAAATTTTAAAGACAGCATCCTCAATAATAACACATATGTAGAAAATGTATTAAATATAATTCCAATATTCAATTTTACTTAAATAGTAACAAAAACACCATATAGGCATACATTTACAAATTTTATATCTAAAGTAGATTTATTTTAAATGTCAAAAGTGTCAAAAGTAAAATTTCAAATTTTTTTTTTTTTATTCAGTTTAATCCGTCGACAACTAATGGTCATTGGCATGGTACAGTGAATTTTTACAGTCAGGTACCTAGTGTAGTGTGTGTGTAGGTGTAGAGTAATTTTCTTGATACTTAGCAAAGTCGACGTCATTGGCTTTGCTATGAGATGCTAATTGTATCCGAACGTCTGCGGTCCCTCCAGTGAGTACCGATCGCACAAGGATAGAAATGATTTTCATTCATTAATTTTTAATAAACGAAAATTTCTCCACCCAGGTGAGATTCGAACTCACGACCTTTAGGTTCAAAGGTAGGCGCTCTTACCACTGAGCCACAGAGGGGGTCAAATTTCAAAGTAAGAATTCTTTATTTTGTTTAATTTTCAGTGGTGAAAAATGGACGCTAGGAAAAAAAGAATAAAAACAGTGCATTTGAAGGAACAGAAGAGACTCGTTTGTGAAACTTGTAAGGATGAACACGCTTTCTTTGAAGCTACTTTCATAAAATTGCCAGAATATGGAAAATTCTGTAAATTCAATATGAAAATATATCGCAATACTTATTTTTAACATTCATCCTCCATTTAAACACATTTGTAACACATGGAACCAACATTTCAGTGGAAAGAAGTATAAAAAAGTGTTTCGGAAAACTGTAAACCAGTGTAGATGAATAAAGTTGTTCCAGAGACTTAATATTTAGCTGTTTCCTGACTCCAGGGGAGTTCACCAGTAATGTACAACATTCCTGCTACCATGTGATATCACTTTGGTTAAAAATTTTGTACAAAATTTGTTTTTAACCGTTTACAAATAACTTACAGTACACTTTTAATGAAAATATAACCGTATTCAATACAGAATCTTATATAATGAAAATAATAGTTTTGAATATATTAAATTTGAAATTTTTTTGGGTTGTCTTTAATTAGAATTACCGTAATTATTTACTTGTTTTGAGTCCATTATCCTTTCATTGAGTTCATTATAATATCTTTAATAATATTTACAAAGATAACCTAAAA